AGATGCCATTATAAGAAGTTCGCACTTACTTTCACAGGCCCGGACACTGACTGGCGCATATTACCCGACACATCGTCTCGCAGCACGGTGGGCGTGATCGACTGGTGCTTGCGAGGAGCCGCACGATGCGGTTTGAGATGCGCCCCCGAAAACGAACAATTTTGTTAGGCGTGTGGCTGGGCGAGGGCAGCGAGCGCCCGCGGAGCATATCGTGTGTGGCGGGTAAACGGTTGCATAAGACGGCGAGGGTGCGTCGTGTTCCAGCGTGGAGATCACTGCCATGGGTTGCAACCTTTCCGGAACCGAAGCCCCTCCAAACAACAACCAGCAGCCGGGATATTGTAGATAGAAAAAAGCCCGACGCTCCCGCTGCCGTTAGCGGCTGAAAATTACCCAGTGGTGTTTGAAGTTTGTTGCCGTTCAATGGAATGAGGCAGATTGACCGGAGGACTTTTGCCTAAGAATCGGTCTCCTAGAAAGGGAGGCGGCGGGCCGGCAACAACACGACGTCTGGTCGCGCTTTTAGGGACCTGTAGGAACCGACCAAGCGTTCTTGAGGCCGAATCTTGCCGGGAAACCGAGCGAAGTTACAATATTTTCGTCGTGCATGGTGTTGAGCAACGCCCGTGCGCCGTCGTGGCCGCCGCCAAGGCACTTTGACACACGATTTCTCACCACTGCCGGCCCGCCCAGGCAGGCTTCCCCAGAAAAGATCCGATGCATGATAAGGGTGTCCCCTGGAGGTCGGCAAGGACCAGGCAGGCTGTGGCGCAAATCCCGATGGTGTAACCAAGGGGCATGGCAGAACCGAACAACTCAAAGAAGACGTCAACGAAACGGGAGTTTGCGGCGATTTATGATGGAGAATTAGTTGCACGATTCAACGCTTGACGAGTCAGGCGGCGCCAACAAAAGCCGTATATCGGGGAGTTCAACATCCTCTTTGAAGTTGTGACAAATTCGACCTCGCTCCTGTATACCCTTGCCCCACGAGTCAGCCGCGCATGAACTCGCAAAATGTACATATGGGCTCTGCAATACTTACGATGCTAATGTTCCTCTAAGATGTCCTGCTAAGCTCGCTATACTATCGCGCAACCCCTAAGCTTATCTCTCAAACAGTCCTGTCAATGTAAATAGCCATGCTAAAGAGGTCGAGCACGAAAACCGACTCCCAGGCCGAATATTGCCACTGAAAGTTCATCAGATGGGCCAGGAACCGGACGAGACCAAAAATCCCAATATTGGCCGTGCTCCTCGGAACGGTATATCCCCCCGGTTCACCTAATCCCGGTTGGTGTCGTAGTTCCGCTGAGAATCGCCGGTCCGACTAGCATGAAGCAGCGGCGTGGTGTCAGCCGCAAGATCGAGGTCCTGGTCTTCAGTAGCCTGCAAGTCAGATCGCCCATTGGATGATCCATTCGCGTGGACCTCATCATCGAAACCGTTACCATGATGCGACCGACCCAAGAGCGGCGACGGCGACTTCGAGGTGTTGGTGCCGTTAGCGTTGGCTTGGATCTCGTAGTAAATGGCCAGAGACAGGAGAGCGCCCTGCATTGTGGCGGTGAGGACAAATATACCCCACGAACTCCAGCCAGCCCAGCCGAGTCGGGCGAACAGGCTAGCTGCAAAAACAAACCCGCCGGGTGTTTGGATGCACATCATGGGAATGCTGAGGCTGCCCACATGCTTGAGATGGTATGTAGTCCAAATCTGAGGGATGTACTGGACGGCTGCGAGGAGAGCCGCCATCACGCCGAGCACATTGGCCCATGTTGGCAGATGTTGCTTGGCCGTGGTAGATAGCACCCCGGTGACGACGATGACAGCAAGGCCATGGAGCAAGGTCAAAGACGCCACCAACAATGCGGTCTGCCATCTCGGATGCGCCTCATCATCAACCTCTTCATTTTCGACATCGTCGGCGGAGTGGTAACGAAAAAAGACGAGAAATAGGACGAAACTACGCAGATGGTTGTTAGTTGCGGTTCTCTTCCCCAGCCATCAAGGTACCCACATGAACGCGAAGCAGATCCACTGCACGCCAAGCTGGGCGATACCGAGTAGACCAGCAACGCAATGGAATGTCTCGAGTTCTTTGCAGCAGGCTACGTCCTGGCGAGACTTGGGAAGAAGCAGGATATTCGCAAAGGCCGAAGTCCCAGAGGTGGTGCCGAGCAGGACAAACCAAGGCGAAATGCCCTCGGAGGTGCGGCGCTTGATGATGCGGAAATGTTGGGGGAGATAGCTGATGAGCATGCCGATGACGATAACGCTATAAAACATTCAGCAAGTAGACCACGGGGCTTCCCGAGCCGGCCGTACATTGAAACGATGAGGTTAACAACGCTCAGATCGCGAAGCTCCTCGCAGCGGTCCTCGCCAATCCAGGCATCCATCTTGGGCAACTTGAGTGGGTTTCCAGTTTCGTCCGAGTTCGAGAACGTAGTTTTGCGACGAAAGATCAGATGGAACCCCTCCTGAACGAGTAATTGGGAGGCTTGTTGGGAGAGAAACCCAAGAGGTGATGGAGACGGTTGTCGAGATGCTTGGCTCCACGCGTTGTTGGGTTGAAGAGGGCGAGCTGCCGAGCTGCAGCTGCAACTGCAGGCGAGCTCCTGCTGGCAAGTGGGGCCTTAGGGGACAGGTCCACTTTTTGTCTGCCGTTGGGTGGGGCCTGACGGGGAATTTGTCGATCTTGAGAGGTGAAGTGGGTTCCATGTTGTTAATCTTGACTTAACTACAATTTATTTAGCAAATATCAAAAAGTCCGAAGCACATTATACGAGAGAATTCCTCACAAACCAAACTTAAAGGAGGTTTCAAAGGCAACTTAAACCCCTAATAATTCACCACCAATATGGAACCACCCTCGGTCAACCTCAAGGCTATTACAGGCAACCCCAATGGGTCTATACCTCCCAAACATAAAGCTCACAGCCACGATGCTTTCTTCAAGAGTGTCCAATGGTACGCCCCATCTCCCATCCAATTCTACTCAGTTCTCACGACTCACTCATGATACACAGGTCCGCTGACGGCACAACCCTCTTCACCTCCTCCTTTTCCAGTCGGATATGTACTTTCGTCCTCCCCGAGACCCTCCTCCAGCCACGCGAATCTCCCGTAGAGCTCATCGCCCACAGCACCCTCGCCCTGCCCGAACCGTCCAGCGCCATTGCTCCATGTCCTTACTTTGCCCTAGAACACCCCTCCACCCAGACCCTCCTCACAGCCAGCACCGACCACCCAATCCACCTCCACCACGCCTTCCCCCCATCACCATCACCAACCTCACCCTCCCCAGCCGACGACAGTACCCACGACACCCCATCACCACCACCACCACCACCACCACCACCCCCCACCCGCACCCAACCACCCCCCCTCGCCTCCTTCCGCCTCATCAAGCACGAAACGGAAGCCTACCTCCCCATCGCCTCCCTGACCTGGCCCGCCCCCGGCACGCACTTCATCGCCGGCACCACGAACCGCATCGCACTCTTCGACCTCTCGCGGCCCGACGCCCTTGACCCCAACCCCCTGCTCTCCATCCCCACCATCCCCTCCACGCGCCACCTCGCCAAGGGCGGCGGCGTCGGTATGCGCGGCGTGGTCTCGGCGCTGGCGGCGCAGCCGATGTCCGTGGCGGGGGTGGATGGGGGTGATGGTGGTGGTGGTGGTGGGTGGGGTCTGTTGGCGGCGGGGACGAGGACGCGGAATCTGGGGCTGTACGATCTTGTGCGGAGTGGGGAGTGTGTTGCGACGTGGAGTGCCGCGGGCGCGGCGAGGGAGGCCGGGATTGGGGGGCGCGGGGTCATGCAGACGGCTTGGTCGCCGTGCGGGCGGTATTTGGTGGTGAATGAGCGCGGGGCGACGGGACTGCTGGTGTATGACCTGCGGGGGACGCACCGGTTGCTGGGGACGCTTGAGGGTAGGGATGGGACTACGAATCAGCGGCTGAGCTGTGATGTGTTTTCGGGGACTGAGAGTATGGGAGGGTTTGAGGTGTGGGCGGGGACGAAGAATGGAGGTGTGGTTGTTTGGGAGGGGGTGGGGAATCAGGAGGGCGCTGTTCAGCCATCTTGGGACTGGAAGGCCCACGGCTCGGCGGTTGGAGCTACGGCGATGCACATGAGCGGGTCGGTTGTGGCGACCTGCTCTGGAGCATGGACGTTTGTCGATAGGGATGAGGACGAGAGTTCTGACAGCTCCGACTGTTCCGATGCTGGAGCGGGCGCAACACGACGCGGCAACTCGAAATCCAAAATTGTGGTTGAGGAGACCAGCCTCAAAGTTTGGAGTCTGGGCCCAGGCAACTCGCCTCAGGTCGAGAGGGACAATGATGTGGGCGGTGATGCCGAAACATGACGGCAGTCACGTAGCAAAACACAAATATCTCCCTACTTCCGCTTATTCCGGTATCTTGTACGATCAGTAAGTCGAGACCGAACAAACATTTAGGCTTGGTACTAAATGCTTACAGCTACCCATCAGGATTTCCAGAGCAACGTTTCTCCCCAGAGAAGCAATTGTTTCCAACATGCAACTGTCGTGCGGTCCTACCGCGGAATCAGCAATCGAGTCGGCACATTAAAACCCTCCCCACGCGGGCGCCACCCTAAAATCAGAACCGCATTCATCAACTACCCTCTGCCCCCAAGGCTCGTCAAGCACGTCACTCACACGGTCGAGCACCCTCCGACCACCCAACAGCTCCCCAAACAGCTCAACCCTCCGCTCCCTTGCCATCGTCACAAAACACGGCAGCCCAAACACCTGCCCATCCCCACCCCCAACAGCCGGCCTCCCGTCTGGCACCTTCAGGGTCCCCAGCACCACCTGCGCCGCAAAGACATTCATCCCCGCCCGCCGTAGAAACACCTCCCAGAACGTTTCTACCGGCAGCAACATCTCCCGCACCCCCTCCGCTTCCCCGCTCACACACTCACAAACCACAGCCGCCACCCACCTCGCCAGCGTCTCCACCCCGCCGCCGACATAGACCACGCGCACCTCGGCCGTCGTCGCCGCCAGTCCCGCCGCAAACCCCTGGAACTCGGCCAGCGCCCGCGCGTCCGACGGCGACAGCGGGCCCGCCGTCTCGCTGTGTCTGTTGCCCTCCGACACGAGCACCACCACGCGCTCGTGCCGCACCGCCACGTTGCTCACTACGCGGCAGAAGCTGGTTGTGGGTGCGCTGTTGTTGGCGTTGGCGTTGTTGTTGTTGTTGCCCACGGGTGGTGGCGCTGCCCGGCCCGGTAACGCCCGCTGCCGGAGCTGGACCATCGTTGTGAGCAGGATGCCGGTGGCTGGCGAGGCGACGATGTCCGCTTCGTCGAGGTTTGGGGACCGCGCGCCTGGGATCCAGCCCGTTGGGCGGTGTTTGTTGTAGTCGCGGGGGATCAGTTCGATGGTGGGGAGGAGGGTCTGGAGGTGTTGGGTCAGGGGCTTGGAGACGGTGGTGGATATGACGACCCGGAGGGCGCTTTGAGGGCGGTTGATGGGTGGAGCGAGGGCGGGGATGGGCTTGGGAGGAGGGGGCATCAGCTTGGCTGCCTCTTCCGCCTTTGACCGAGATGAAGATGGTGTGGTATCTGGTGGGTTGGAAAAGGAGCTGTGGGTAAGCTTTAGCTTCTTCGGGAAGTTCATCTCGAGGAAGTTGTCTACGAGCGGTGCAAAGTCCGTGTATTCGCTCATGAAACCCCGTAACACATTCGTCGACGGTATCAAGGACGTGTCGATGATGCCCGTTGCGGATATATCTGAGGCGTCTGCGACCGGGCCGTCTCTGCCCACGCTGGACTGCCGCCTATGAAGGGTTTCGTCAATGGAGCGCTTCCTTCCACTCAAGAGCGACGTCAAGTCTGCGGGAGGCGGGGCGGTGGCAACTGCCTTGACGCGCGGAGTGTGTTGCAGCGTTGGCACCGGCCCTTCAGAAGGTGACGCTGGCTCTCCCCGATCATGACCTTGGGAAGTAGTTGTTGGCGTTTGCGCGGACAAATGGAACGGCGCCAAGCACTCTTCGTCGTCATCCTCCCCCTCTTCCCCTATTCGGAGAACCACCGGGCCCGGTTCTTTGTAGGCATAGTCAACACTAGTAAGAATATCGCAATCTCGGCCCCTCTTCAGAAAAGGCTCGAGCGCTTCGGTCTCGACTTCGATGCGATCTGACATCAACTTCTTCTCTTTTATATTGGGCAGTGGCACCCACACCATATTTTGCTCGGCAGTTCTGTTCTGTGGCCACTTGGGGCTCTGCCAGTTGACGTTGGTGTTCTCGCGGAGGAACTGAAACATTGTTTTGTCTTCCCAGAGGCGCTGTTCCCATTCAGGGACAGGGATGCTGAAGTCCAAAACCGGGACGGGAACTCTGGTAGTGGCGTCGAGCGGCTGAAGCTTTTCCTGTTCCGCATGCCTCATCACGGTGATTGCGCTTTTCTGAAAAGCCGTCACGAGTTGACCCGTCGGGCCATCTGAACCAGAGAGCGTATCGCTGCTCGCTATCAGCTCCTTTGCCTCTACCAAGTCGTCGGGCTTGAGAGCTCTCTCAGGCTCCAAGACGTTGTTGAGGTCATCATCGCTGCAGACAAGCAAAGGAACGTCCACTTTAAGACCTCGTGGGACTGGTTGTGAAGATGATGGTGGGATGGGCGGCCGGAACTCTCCTGCTTTAATCATTTCCGACACGTCAATATCGTCGTATCTTCCGGGGGAGTCGTTATTTTCCAAGGCGTCAGCCCAGAATTCGAACTCGGCCTCGAATAATTTTCGTTCGGCAGCTGCAATGTCTTCACTAAGCCTTGAGATGGGGTCACAAGGCTGCGGTAATTCACAAATCTCATCTTCAGGGACGAAGTGCCCCGGATATGCGACCGCCATGGGACTCAGCGGGGGCGTTAGGTGCTCCCGGGCCCCCATCTATGCCCTCAATTAGCTGTGGGCCTTCAACTTGTGTATCCTGGACTTCTCTTACCCTTGGGTCGGGAGCGTGTGTCCAAAAAAGGTCCCACTGGTCCTTGCTCGTCAAGTTCGATTTCAAACTCTGCATCAAGTACACGAGTGTGTCTTTGGTTACCTCTAGTGTCTCTTGTTCAATGGCCATCATTATCTCCACATCCCTTTGGAACAGGCTCTCGGGGAACTCGACACCTTCACCGCGGGCAATGTCAGCCGGGTGAAGCGGTAAGCGGTGGTCTGGCAATACTTCCTTCAAGAAGGTATTCACTCGTCTTGCAAGCCGGCGACAATCTGTACCGTGGTCACTGCGAAGTGCTGGGGTTTCCAACTTTAGGCTTTTCCATCTCCGTGTGTCGCTGAAGCACTGTTGTGAAACCCACTCTACCAGCTCATCCTCCTTGCATCTTCCGCAGCCCTGCTGGAGGATTTGAAGAGATGCGACCGACAATTGCCATTGTTCCGTGGTTGGTATGATGACACGAAAGATACATTCCTGGAGCCGAGGAGCTTCAATCAAGTCTCGCGCTTGAAGGTCAGGGATTGTGGAGTTAATGGCTTGGTCAGTCTCGACCAATTGCTGCCAGTCAAGGAAGAGACTATCGATTGTCAGCCCGTTGCATCTTGCGTATTGGTCTGCGTCAATGATCGAGGGCGGGCTTTCTATCGATGATGAGCAGTGGCCTTGTATTGACTCTTTGAGCGAGATGAGATCGTCGCCAGAGTTCAGCTCCATCCCTGTGCTTTAGTCAGAAACCGATATGTGTCGAGTAGTTGAGGGTAACGGGGGTCGTGGGATTATTGGGTTTTCCGCCACGGAGGAAGAACAGAAATGCCACTATGATACACAGCGTATTTGGGCTTGGTGGTAGCAGATGGTGAGGCAGGGTGTTCGTTGCAGCAGGAACCAGCTCGCGACTTCCTGCAGAGGGACTGGGGCAACATGCTCCATCCACCAGAAACACTCAACACAACCCAAAAACTGGGACATATCGCCAGACCTCCATCAACAATGCTAATTTACCATTGCCATAAATGTGTATGTGTTAAATTTATAAAATTCCCGAAAGCACGCCGTGTTCGTGAGTTTACTTCGCGGGACCCACTGTTGTTGGTTGATCAAAGCCCGCGCTCAGACTTCTTGTTCACCCAGGAGCCCAAAGCCTGCAATGACGTCGGCTTCATGCCCCGCCAAACAAGCTCCCCACCATCAAAACAAAACAACCAATTCGCATCACCATTGGCAATCGCACCAGCCATCCCAGAATCATCGCGCAGAAACCAATTTTTAAGATACGACAAATCTACACGATGAAACGATAGCTCGTAAACGACTCTCTCTCATTCGGCTATCATATATGACCATATCCACGAGAAAGCACGGGATCCCGTCCGCTCTCCCCTCGTTAACCTCGTGAGAGTTATTTTAGCAGTTGGGTCGGTGACCAGCGAATCCTGGTGTTGTCTGTTCTTTTTTGGAGACTAAAAGTCTCTCATTCCGACTTTTTGGCGTTCCACGCGCTTAGCGGGTCTTTCCGGCCCTTGCAGCGGCCCAGCGGCGCAGTAGCCCCACTGTGGGGTGCGGCGCATCGATCCGATCCGAGGTCTTCATCGGAACGACCTGCTGACATGATCGGGAACGACCACATCTGATCTTTTCGGGAACTGCGACAGCAACAAGCGCGGGACGGGGCGCGCCGCGTCGGGCCCACACTCTCCCAACCGGATAGCAGGGTGGAAAAGGCATGCGTGCTCCTTCGTTGGTTGCTCCACTCGCGGGCCTTGGTGCATAGAATTAGGATCACAAGACTGTGTCGCTGATACTCCCCGATATGGCCGTGGAGCGCTGGCTTCACAGTGACCGTTAGAAGACTTTGCGCCGTTTGTCTCGCAAATGAAGAGAAAGTATTAAGTACGGAGTTGCTCTACTGCCATTCGTCAATAGCACCGCCACAGCTTTCTTTTGGACGGCCGACAACCAACAGGCCAGCCTCACCGCATCTTTCAGCTCCGCCCCGCAATAACCGCGCGAAATACAGCTATTAACTTCACATTGTTTTACTGTTGCATAGTTTCTCTTCTTTCTCGACAAGAATCCTCATCGGGACCATGTCTGCTGAATACAAGCCGAAATCGCGGAAGAAGTGGTGGAAGGAGCCCTTCAGGTGTCTTCGTGCAACCTCGCCGGCTCCGTCTGCCTCCCCGTCTGCTGTAGCGGCGAAGGCCGACCAACCCCGCACAGATACAAGAGTCCCCAATGATCACCAACCACCCGCGATATCGCAAGCACTACCTCCTGCTCTGCCCGCCGAACCCGTACCCAAACTATCGCCGACCGAATCTATAGAGCAACTGACCCCTACCCTTTCTGTATCCGAGAGACTGTGGAACGCTGCGTACGACAGTCTTGAGACGGACAATGCAGAGCTTGTCATATTATACCTGAAAACATTGGAAACAGTTCTCGGAGCCAACCTAGGTGTTGCCTCTGATACGAACATCTCGGCCGAGTTCTATGACCCGACTAAACAACAGATATATATAAGGAGGCTAGTAGAGGAAGGCCGGGCAAAAATTTCCAGAGTGTCTAAGATTACGAACGGAGTAGGCGACGTTACCGATATCGTCCTGTCGGTCAAGGGAATAATTGACCTGGCTGTCCAAAGCGTACCGTAGGCTGCGCTTCCGTGGGCCGGTGTTTGCGTTGGGCTATAAGTAAGCAGGTATTCTTCGAATACCCCTTTGTGCTTGGCTCTGCTAATATGCCTCTAGATGCTCCGGAATCCTGCGCAAGCGACGAAATCCAACCTCGCTGGTATTACCCATGTCATCTCCCGAATGAACTGGTACTGCGCCCTCGCCGAACATCTCCTGAACAAGAATATCATTACCGGCGACTGCAACGTACAGGCAGTCTTGCATCAGCTAGAGGGGATAGTCGTTGAGCTCTATAAGGCTCTTCTCCTGTACCAGATGAAGAGTGTTTGTTCTTACTATCGCAACCACAAGCTCGTCTTTCTTCGCGTGATGCTGAATTTGGATGATTGGGACGGCGATCTGAAAGGCGTTACAGACGCAGAAGCCATCGTCTAAAACGATACCGCCCAGTTTTCCAAAGAACAGACAAGGACTTTCCTAGGAAATCTCGTCAATTGCACTAAGGGGATAGAAGCACGGCTCGGCAACGTCCATCAGACCCTTCAAGACTTCATCTCGCTGCAGAAGGACGCCCATAGGGATGATATCGAGTCAGCGTGCCGCAAAGATCTCCGCGTCGTTGATCCGCAACACGACATGGAGCGGATCGAGAAGAGTAAGGATGAGCTGCTCGATGACGCGTACAAGTGGATCCTTCGCACCCCGGAGTACGAAGCGTTCACAAACTGGGACGATAGCGGATCCGATCGTCCGCTACGTCGATTACTCTGGATAAAAGGACACGCCGGCACGGGAAAGACAATGCTCATAATCGGCCTCATTCGCCAACTCTCTCATCAGCCTGTTGCCCTATCACCAGCACTTTCCTTCTTCTTCTGCCAAGGTACAGATACAGCCTTGAACAACGCCACCGCCGTCCTCAGGTCTTTGATCTGGCTTCTTCTTCAGCAGCCATACCTCATATCCCATCTACTTCAGAAGTACAAAGAGTCAGGCGCCGATCTCTTCAGGGACCAAAATGCCTTTATCGCCCTGTCCGAGGCGTTTCGGAATATGTTGAAGGATCCTAAGTTGTCACCTGTGTACCTCGCGGTCGATGCGCTTGATGAGTGCGCGCAGGGGCGGCCGGACCTCATCCATCTCATTTCAACTTCTCTCAACCTGTCCCAGAAGGTGAGATGGCTGCTCTCTAGCCGTCCGGAAGTAGACCTTCTTGCTGAGCTCAAAGATCCGGGCACCAACTCCGCAGACGCTTCCAAATCCCTTGTCGAGCTGGATACCCAACGTCTGAAAGATCCTGTCAACACATTCATTGATCATAAGCTCATCACCCTCAGGTGCAGAAAAGGATACAATGACAGTGTTTTGGCTGAGGTCGCTCATGAAGTCCGCCAACGAGCTGAAAACACCTTCCTCTGGGTGGCTCTCCTGTTCAAAGAACTCGGTTTGGTGGACGGCTGGGATGCTGTTGAGGCCGTCCAGAAGATCCCCCCCGGCTTAGCAGATTTATACGGCTATATGATGACCAAGATTGATGAAGGGAACGAACGGAATCGGCAACGTTGCAAGGATGTGCTAGTAGCCACATTCCTCGCGTACCGCCCTCTGTCTCTTTCAGAGCTTGTTGTGGTTGCAGGTTTGTTAGCGATGGTTGATTCGCGGACAATTGTGGATAGATGCGGCTTCTTTCTCAAAATCACAGGGGACACTGTTCACCTGATTCACCAATCGGCCAAGGACTACCTGGAGAAGAATTACCAGTCTAGACTTCAGCCAGCTGGTCCCGCTCAAGGGTATACCGAGATCGCCAGCCGCTCGATTGATGCGATGTCCTTAATACTAAGACGCAATATGTACAACCTCGACCTCGGCTTTAAACCGGAGAATATAACGCCCCCTAATCCCGATCCGCTGGCTCCAATACGATACTCTTGTGTCTTCTGGGCCGACCATCTCTGCTCCCTAAACAGCGACAACTCCGGGTTCCTAGAAGAACTGACAGACGACGGAAAGGTGTTTGGATTCCTGAAAGAATGCTTCCTCCGCTGGCTTGAGAGTTTGTCTCTTATGCGGGAACTTTCGAGTGGGCTACTCTCGATAAGAAAGATTCTATAAACTGCTTAGGTATGTTGGTAGTGCCGTGTTATTGCCAGGTTACTAAATCCAGTCAGTTACAACCGGACATTAACCCTTATCTTGAGTTGTTGAAAGACGCAGAGAAGTTTGTATTTAGCCACAGATCGATTATAGAACGGGCACCCTTACAGATATACGGCTCCGCGCTCGTATTTAGCCCAACTTTGAGCGAGATCAGAAATCGGTATTGGAAGGAAAGGTTGCCTTTTATCGAAATAACCGCTGGTATTAGAGACCACTGGGGCGCGTACCGGCAGACACTCGAGGGGTATAACTGCTTGGTTAGCATAGTAGCATTCTCGCCGGATGGTAACACGCTTGTATCGGCTTCGGCCGATACAACGATCCGGCTCTGGGATATAGCAACGGGCGCGTACCGGCAGACGCTCGAGGGGCATAGCCTCTGGGTCACCGCAGTAGTATTCTCGCCGGACGGCAATATACTCGCGTCGGCTTCAGTCGATCAGACGATCCGGCTCTGGGATATAGCAACCAGCACACACCGGCAGACGCTCGAGGGGCATAGCAACTCGGTCACCACAGTAGCCTTCTCACCGGACGGCAATATACTCGCATCCAGCGGGAGACGCTATTCCGGAACGATACCCTACGGAGGCACGACGGTCTCAGCAAGGCGAAGAGCTCACTGCTGATTCAAATCCGGACGGGAGCAATAGGCTTACGGGACTTCTTGTTTACACGGGGAGTCCCGGAGGTTCTGACTCCTGCCTGCGAGTGTGGCGAGGGACGAGAGACTGCCGAACACCTGGTAGTGTGGTGTTTGGCCCCACCGTTGACTAGAAGATGGGAGAGAACTGGAATTCGGACACGACGGGACTTTTACTCTGTTCTACACGGCATCAATCCCACGACTGCACGGCTCGCGAGGAGACTTCTCGACTGGCTGATGGACTCGGGGAAGCTGCCGATGTACAACTTAGCCAGGAGGCTCAAGCTGGAAGCGGCGGCCTGAAGCGCCCCCGTTCGGAGGCCAGGAGGCCTCCTCTCTTTGTATATGTGGGCTCACTAAAACGCATCGCTCCTTGATTGTTGGTATGGGTTTTTCACCCGGCCCGGGAGGGCACGGTTTTCCTGTACACTAAATAGCTGAGGGTCCGGCACGCCCTAGGGCATAGCGGAGTATGAATAATAATTGATGCAAGAATCCCCATTGTGTGATGAAGTTACTTAGAGATAGTCCGTGCCAGGCCGCCCCACTTTGGTCCTCTGCAAATAGTCTGTGAGGCGCCTTGCACCTTTAAAAAAGACAACTCTTTCTTCGACCTTTTTTTCTACTATTTGCAATCGATGCAGTGTCCCGTATCAATAATATAATTATCCGAGATAATCTTGAGTAGAGGTTCACACCTTATAAAAGCCGTAAATACCAGGCCAATACTGGAAGAAAGTTATTATATAGCCGCAAGATCCCAGATAGTATTTACAGTAACCGAGCCGTAAAGGCACTTACACTTGTCAAGCGCCTATATCTCCACCATATGCTCGTTAAGGTTCCCAGTCTCGTCCCACTCCTCTATAGACCGGGTTAAAGGAAGCGCGGAAGGTATTAAGGCCGTTCCCGACAGGATTATCTTTGATAACCGCCCGTTGCCTCCTAGTACAGGCTGGAGGAAGATACCGTAGTCCACCTTATTCTCCTTTAGCACAGGGTCATCGCCGTAGAATACCTTAAGCGTACAGTACAGCGTAATGTTCCGGAAGTCTATGGAATCTTGGCCCTCGAGAGCTTCCTCCAGGGCACAGCAATATATATAATTAATTGTTTCCCAACTTCCTTCAGACCAACCCGCCTCGACCTCCCTCAGAAGTGAGCGGCGAGTGGTGGACCACCTCGGACGAGTAGGGTCACGTGTGGCATCAAACTCTCAGGATAAGCAAAGACCATCGCAGGCTTTCTCCGGACCGCTGCAACGGGTGGCATAAAACACGGCATGAACCTAGGTACCTAATCAATACGAGAACTCATACGCCGCATCGTCCTCGCATCCCATGTTGTGCGGCGCCGAAGAGCTACCTGGAGTCTGCGACACTGTTGCCTGACTCACACTTAAGGCCTCCACGATATCGCGCGCTAGGTGCCCCCGTCTTGGCGATCATATTTTCAGGAAGCTGATTTTAGTCTGCACCCTTTTGCAACCGTTCTAGGCAACCAGGACGGCTTTGGAGGCCTGCACTAGTTTAGGCGGGCTGGTCGTCGCGGGGAAGGTGGCCGCTTTTGTTTATACACACAATGAATGAAGCACATGTACCAATTCACGGTCTTGTTTTACCGCGTCCCGTTGCCTGCGGAATTCCAGTTTCACTTTTCAGTCCGAGGCCAGCATGGTTTCAGCGTCCATGAGATGGATGCATGCCTTCAGCATCTCCCGAACTAGGTACATGTACCTAGTAAGAGTAAGAGGATACGGATTGTGGAGCTATCCCACCTTGATGGTAGTAATAAATAGGTATCGAGTGTGCATCGTATCGCTGGCTATTAACTTTTTATCAAGAAATAGCCAGCTACAGACATCTCAACCTTTTCGACACCGTCAACAACCAATCAACCTAGGTACCTAACCTACGACAATGAGTACCAGAACTCCTAGAAATGCTGGAAACACCGGAAACACCGGAACCACCAGAAATACCGCAAACGCAGGAAACTCCAGAAACACCGGGAACACTGCAAACCCCGGAAATGCTGGGAACGCCAGAAATACCGGAAGCAGTGGAAATGCCGGAAACACTACAAGCACGGGCAATACCGGAACCGCCGGAGCCGCCAAAACCGTGTGGCCTCTATTCAGCGCCGAGATTGAGGTTTACATCAAGCTCAAACCCAGCGTGGAAGCGGCGCTGAGAAAACAGAAAAGAAAGAACCCTTCCTCCCTGCCCTGGTATTTTCGGGATTGGGACTTTGACCTCTGGAACAACGTCGATGCTCATCCCAAAGCGGTACAGAAGCGCCGGGTTACTACGGCTGTTAAGGCAATCATCGACAGCTTTTTGGGCGATGACAACGGATGGGGGTGCGAGGCGGACTTCAGCTTGAAAGATGACTGCCTCCGACTCGGCCCAGATGCCGAAGCAAGAAAGTGGTGTATGTATGGAGTCATTCTTACTCTATCGAGAAACTGCCTTTTTCGTTTCAATATGCTAATAATAGTACAGGGGGGATCAAAATCAATACGCCACCCATGTCGGTATCGAAGGAGTGGCAACTACCGATCGACATAGTCTGGGATGAACTTGGTGAGAAGTTCGACTTCTGGATCGACGAGTTCTGCAGCTTCCACGTACACGTAGCGCCCGGCCCAACCAGACAAAACCGCTATACGCTGGATCAGATTGTTAGGATAGCGAAAGGAACGTACTTCTGGGAGCATGCGCTATCCCGGCTCGTACCGCAAAGCCGTGCATGCAATGAATTCGCCTTGCCAAACAATACTATTTTCGCAGGGGACGAATACATGGGAGTCCCTAACAAAGGGTGGGCCCCCCTCTTTGCAAAGATCGATGGGCTTGCGGCTATATCCGAGACCAAACTTCTCGATTCACTGAAAGGCGGGGAGACTAGGAAAGGCTGGACAGCGAACGTGTCGACCAACTTTTGCTCACTTTCCGAAAGAGGAACAATCGAGTTCCGTCGCCAGGGCGGCGTTGCCTCAACTCTGAGTACCACCCGTTGTATCCTCCTGGCCGTTACGCTTCACATTAGCGCCCTCCGCTATAACTTCGATAAAGCTAGTACCCGGAAGGACTACCCCGACGAAGAAGAACTGATCAAGGAGCTCGCTGGCTGCGTCAAAAAGCTTCCCGAGACATGCCACGGTACTCGATTCGTTCACTGGCTTGAATGGTGCCAGGCATCCTACAGCTGGAGCGGCACCCAGAAAGATTACACCGCGGCCCAAATCAACATCAGAGAGGAAGCCTACCGTAAGGGAGTTACCCCTCCTAATCAGGCTCCATATAACCGTTTTACCGACCCTTGCCCTCCCGGGGCGATGGTGCTCCCCGCATATGTGATACCATCTTCCACGGCCACAAACACCGCCTCGCAAGCACGACAGGGAACAGCCGCCGCGGCCCAAGGAAGGGAAGGAGCAGCAAGCGGGAGAGGAGGTGCCTCCGGCGGAAGGGGGGGAGCGGCAGGTGGGAGGGGCGGCGCAGCCCAGGGCTCGTCGACCACCCCGTCCCGCACCCCCGCGGCCCAAGGCGGAAGGGGCGGAGGAGCAGCAGCGAGCGGCAGAGGGGGAACCGCCACCGGCGGAAGGGGAGGCGGAACAGCCAGTGGCAGAGGAGGCGGCGCTTCTGCCGGTGGTGCTCCCGCCCGAACGACCGCCGGCGCCCGGACCGGCGGTGGCATGACGACGCGTCTGCCTGAACGCCTCGCGGCGTCGTCTTCTACCGCGCCCGCTGCCGGCCAGCGTCGCCGCCAGCAGGGTGATGGTTCCTAGTTTGGGACTGTACCTTGAAGGTTGTTAAAGTCCCAAGCGTGAGGATGAGCATGGCTAGTGGTGTCGGGTGCTGTCCTTGAGAATATTGCTACTGCACATGATTTGGATCTCTGCCCGCCCGAGGTTCGAGTTTCCGTTCTATTTGTGCGCCGCAGAGGAAAGCACCTAGCGGGGGTTTCCAAAGCGCATCGAGCCATGGCTTGTTTAAGAAGGGGGCTTTACAAACCCGGGGGAAACTCACAGACCTTCTGGCACTGAACTGGGATGTGGACTACGGGCCTATTGGCGGAGGGGAGTCTTTGCTTTTCTGTTGTGCGTTGCGTTTTACTGTATCTTGCGATTGGTGTATTTAGGTAGAGGGAGTAAGTTAGACTGGCCCTCTCAGGCGTTCAGGGGCAAGTAGGCAATTGTTTTTTTTTTTTTTTTTTTTTTTTTTTCTAATTTTCTTTCTCCGCTGCTAGCGGGACTGGTTTTGTATTTTGTAGACCGTGACCGCAACGTCTCCCACAGGGTCAGTCATCTTGATGCATTCAGTGAGGCGATGAGATCTCGTATCGCCGACTCTGTTTGAATGGTTTTTAGCCACGGATCTGGTCCGGGATGGGAAACTGGGGGCCATCCATGGAAATGACGGCCTGTGCAGATCACTAGGCAGACGCACAGCGCTTCGGATCCGAAGCCGGTTCCGAAGGTCACCTTCTTGAAGACACCTTTGAAAAGGTTAGGTAACCAATGGTGGTTTTTGGATCCGTTGCTGCTTCCCCATGAGGGATGCTTCATCGCGGGCTTTCTCCGGACCGGCAACCCTGACTATCCCCGAAGCGGCCCGGGCAGGGTGTCTTTCAGCTCGTCTGCCTTGGGGGCTGTGCCTACACAGTATATGGCAGTGCTTGGTTGGCCGCTGGGCTGCACCTGCTGCATAGGCGAGAACGGTTTGCATGGCACAGCCAGTTTCACCGTTTTTTTTGAAACGGACAGCACTAACAGGAGAAAAGAGGCACCCGTTTTTGGATCCTGAGAGCCCCTGTTTTTTGACCCCCCCTACCCCAAAAGATAAGCTTTTGAGAGCCGAATCAGTAGTTGGGTCGGTGACGACCAGCGAATCCTCGGTGTTGTATGTTTTTCTTTTTTACATTCTCTTGAGTACCAGACAAAGGCCCCACCTTCATAAACGACACCTTGCGCTTATGTGACGAACCTACTTCAGGACCCTGCCCTGTCAGGGTTCAGCTTCGGTTGAAGGTAATCTCTCAAGGGTGCTTTAGGTTCGGTGCAGCCAAAGGGTGCACAACAAAGGCTTAATAATCTTCAACACGTAGGCTCTCGAGCTTGTTATCAAAGACTTTGGTTTAGATTTAATCGCAGGACAAAGTGAGCTCCTTGCCTAGCCTTTTGCTGGGCAAGGATGTCCCTTTTGCTCAGTGTGGGTAGATTTACGACATACATAAATAGGTACATAATAAAATACCCTACCAGTAGCCGCCTTATCGTGTTACTAAGCACAGAAAGGCTTCGCTCCCGGAGGCCAGCACATTACGACTATTGTGTTTTTCTTTCACGTCCCTCTCCTCCCCTAAGTGCCCCACGCGTTTCTCCGCTCTCA